TATGTGTGATATTATCATCATAAAAGGAATGGCTGAGGAAAGAAACCAAGTTATTGCTTACCTGCAACATAGACAACCAGGCCATACTTCTCTTCCAGATCAGCAAGATATTGAGAAAGCCTGAGCTTTCCCATCTTGTTGAAAGCATGCTTGCCGAGGTGGTTAAGAATGGCAGCCTGGTTGAGGGATGTAGCCCCATTAGCTGGGCCAACTTGCGCCAGGGCATTCATGAGGCGGTTTCCAAACTCAACAACAGGTACACCCGCGGTAACAGGCAAAATCGCTACAGTTCGTAGATTCATATTAGACTTGCGCATCAAAGTTTTTGGATTGGTGCTAGAGTCCTTGTACGAGAATTTGGAAGTCTCATCAACGATTGCCCTCATCCGTGATGCGATGATCTTTGAAATTTTGATGGTGATATTCGGATGCTCTTGTGCCAAGCTGTTGAAGAGTGTTCGGGGGAATTTCACCAACTCCGTATCTCGAATAGCATGCAGAGTCCCTGGGCGAGCAGTTTCTGTCAGCACCTCTAGCTCACCGACACTGTCGCCTTGTCCGTATTCGGCCAGAGCTGTTACGCCGCCACTGCCGCCCTTTCGCTCCTGGACCAAACGAAGACGACCATTGAGGACGATATAAATCGCCTCGCTTTCGTCATCTTCGTGAAACAGCACCTGCCCTGCATTGACTTGAACCCATTCCAGAGCAAAGTCAATATGTAGAATCAGGCGGGGCAAGATGTTGGTCAACCTCTTGGCCATAGTGAGAAGAACAATCGGATAGCGGTCAACAATCCGCTCCAGCGAAGCGCGAGGCAGGAAGCCTACATAGACATCCGTCTTTGCAACAACATCGATGAAAGACCGGTATGAAGACACACTTCCGATGTAACCAGCCAGACCACCCGGTTTGACTAAGGCAATGCTGCGACGAGACTTCTTTGATGTTGATTGCTGCGTCTCGGCCTGATCTCTTGCAGCTTCGGTCCGAGCCAGATTGGGGAAAGAACCCATTTCAGAAGGATCTGGGGAAGAAGGATCTGGTTGAGATGCACCAAATCCATTAGATTGCAAGATGTTGTGAGCATCTGCCTCGCCAGTCGTACCAATGTCTAAGAACCCATCGACGACATAGTACAAACCAGGGTTTCGTTCTCCTTGCTCTACGAGAACAGAGCCTTTAGGGAAGAAGACGATCTCAACCTCATCCTTCATGTCGCTCGCAAGACCCTGAGCGCTCACAGGAGCATGTAAAGCTGTTCCTCCAGAAGTCACCGACTCAGTCTCGCCGTCAACAGAGCCATCGTAAGGAGGCATGAAACCGAATGCGTTGTTTTGGCTGTAAAACTTTGATCGTCTATGGTCGAACGACACCAGTCTAGGAGAGCCTTCCATGGACTCGGGCTCGCGGGATGCACTTCCATTGGCATCGAGCCCAAGTGACTTAAACATGCACTCCAAAATGGAAGCACGGAAGAGATTGTCTTCATCCACAGTTTCTCGCGGATCCATCGTCATGCGGCCAAGCCTCCTTGAATCAAATGGATCATTGAAAAATCTATCATCCTTTGGATTCGCGCCCTGGTGTCTCATCGAAGCCCCCGAAACGGATCGTTGATCCGCCGGCGAGATACGCGAAGTCCCTCGAGCTAACTGAGTATTAGACAGCAGATCTCCAGGGCTCGGAGTATGGGGAGAAGTTCTTTCGCGAGGTGGTGCAATGGTGCTTGTGACAACCGAAGTCGTCCGCAGTTTGGTCATTGATTGCAGCATAGCCTCTTTCCGAAGAGTTGTACTTGACCTTCGCCGATGAGTTGAGGCCGAGTTGTGCAGTGCAATGCCCTTCGTGTCATCATCTTCGTCTGTACGTTCCCTCTCGCGCTTGAACTTCTCCTTGAGACGTTCTAGAGCATCACCCCGCAGAATATTGGGAAGCTGGCATACCGTATACTTGATCATGCTCTTCTCTGTCTGCAGTACTTCGCTAGTCAAGCCGAGATAGTTGAATGCTTGCGCAAGCGTGACTCTTTGGAATCTTGAGAGAATAACATGTACAATGTGTGCGGTTGCCTTTGGGTAGATCTTGATGAGTCTTCGAAACGCACTCGCTGGGATGATGGCGATTGTTGTATCAACCGTAGCACGAGCAATAATGTCTGGGTGAGCCGAGCCAGATGTTGCCCTTGCTGGCAAGGGCGGTCTAGTAGGTGGAGGTGTATCGCCATCCAGTGACATGGCAGGAATCGCAGCCTGATCGGTTTCTAAGCCAGAAACACCAAGGCCTTCGGGTTTCTTCTCATCCGCCTCCAGATCATTCCGGGACTGAGGTGTGCCTGGCATGGACATATTGACATCCGAAGGAACACGTCGAAGATGAGGCTTCTCGAAGGTCGGGTGTCTAAGGCCGCTGCTTTTGGCAGGATGCAAAGAAGAGTCCTCCTGATCATCGTTAGGCCGTAGCCTAACATCCTCTGTAAACAAAGACATGATGGAGAACAATGATGACATGGGTGCACCATTCCGAACTTCTGTGAGAAGCTGGTATGTCTGTTGACCCGGAGCGATATCGTCCTCATCTGAAGAGTCCAGGTCAAGATGTCCCCGGGAGGCTGCTGCTGCGCGCGGACTCCGGTTTGACTTAACAAAGATCTCTACCAGGCCATCGACGACAATACAGAAGCCTTTTTCTTCTTCGAGGTTGATGGTCTCGCCAGCAATGAGCTTCCTCGTTTGCATGCTTCGAGTCAACTCATGGAAGACAGGCCGTTCCAGGTAACCGAAGATCTTGATAGCACTCAAGAACTCATCTAGGTAGTTTGCCAACCCGGACTTGGTACCATCTTCGTGAGTGTCTGGAAAGAGATCGATGTCCGGCTCTTTGCGCTGTGGCTCTGGTGGCAGACGGGAGTACATGTTCAGGATGCGATACCTGACAACCCAACTGACGGCCGACACGACCGCTGCCATGATAAACATACTATAGGAATATTAGCGTTAAGATGTGAAAGAGATTATTGGTCAACATACAGTGTAGTAGCGTTCATGGTGACAGTCCAGCTTGTAGAGAACAAGTGGAATAGAAATGAAGGGACATTGATGGTCGCAATTCGAATGACCCAATATAGGATTGTAGAAGTGATGTGAAGAAGAAACCATATCAGCCACCCAAAGAGGCCAAACCATGTGTAAGGCTCATGGGCGGTGACAGCAGGCATGGTGCTCACGATAGAGGGGGAGGAGCTGCTGAGGGCATAGGCGACAGTCTCAGCGACGTCGCCGGCCATTTGGGCGGCATTTGACGGATCAGATGCCATGGCTGGTTATGAGGCTGCTGCGCATCATACCGTAGCATCCTGTAGAAGAAAGAGCCGCGTGGAAGCGGAGGGAGAGTTTTGGAGCAAGGGAGAAAATTGGAGGTAGAGGTTTTATGAACATGGGAGAGGAAAAAAGAGCGTGGCTGCTTCTGCGCGTGCAAGCTTTTAGCTTGTGATCGGGTGCGGAGCTACAGGGGAGCTCTGGTGCCGAGGATTGGCCGGTTCAGGCCCCACCCCACTGAGAAACGGTGGGTGAGCCGCTGAATTTGTTCCGCGTGGGCAGGTAGTGGAGGGGTTACCCGTTGGTGCCGTCACCTTGTGCATCTGCTTGGACAAGACATCACTATATTCTTTTCTCGATATAACGATCGCGATCCCCAAGTCGATTTATTCGTTAAACACAGACGGTAGAAGCCTATTTTTTGTCTCGTGCCAAGCTGCCACATCCCACATGATCATGCGCTCTTGAGCTTGACACTCTACGATAGCCTTTCAGATGCCCTTTGCGCAACTCGTCGTTGGCAGCCCAGGCTCTGGGAAGAGTACCTATTGTGATGGCAGTATGTTTTTTTTTTTTTTTTTTTTTTTTTTTTAAATACTGGATCTTCTGTCTAGGTAGACTGACCGATATAGTGCACCAGTTCCTGGGCGCCATCGGGCGAGCCTGTTCAGTCGTAAATCTCGATCCTGCCAATGACCATACAAACTACCCTGCGGCACTCGACATTCGCAACCTAGTCAAACTCGAGGAAATTATGAAAGATGACAAACTGGGTCCTAATGGCGGCATTTTATATGCCCTCGAAGAATTGGAACATAATTTTGAGTGGTTGGAAGAGGGACTGAAAGAATTCAGTGAAGACTACGTTCTTTTTGACTGCCCGGGACAGGTGGAACTATACACACACCACAACTCCCTACGGAATATCTTCTACAAACTCCAGAAGATCGGATACAGGGTTGGTAGATTCCCTCTAAGGAAACCCAGCAACTGACCATGCATAGCTTGTTTGCGTCCACCTCTCGGATTCTTTCTGTCTAACGCAACCCTCGCTATACGTATCGAACGTCCTCCTTTCCCTCCGAGCCATGATCCAGATGGACATGCCGCACATAAACATCCTCTCAAAGATCGACAAAGTCTCCGAGTATGACGAGCTCCCGTTCAACCTCGACTATTACACAGACGTAGACGACCTGACATATTTAACGCCCCATCTTGAATCAGAATCACCCGCTTTGAGGAGCGAAAAGTTTGGCAAGCTGAACGAGGCTATCGCAAATCTGATCGAGAGTTATGGTCTGGTGCGTTATGAGGTCCTCGCCGTCGAAAATAAGAAAAGCATGATGCACATTCTTCGTGTCATTGATCGTGCCGGTGGATACGTCTTTGGCGGTGCTGAAGGTGCCAATGACACAGTGTGGGCGGTCGCCATGAGGAGTGAGTCGTCCATGCTAGAGGTGCAGGATATCCAGGAGCGCTGGATTGATCAAAAGGTGGAATATGACCAAATGGAGCGTGAGGCAGAGGAGGAGCAGGCTCGCATCCAAGAAGAACAGGCCATGGAGCTGGACCAGAGTGAACCATTTGCTCCAGCGGGTGGAATAGACCCAGACTTTGGAGATATGACAGTTCCAAAGGACAGTGGGATCAAGGTAGTTAGAAAAAAATGATACCCGTTCATCAATCCGCATCATCCATGTCTTCATCACTCGACGCGTCGTTGACGTCCAGAACCATTTCGTCCTGATTACGCAGCGAAAGGCTGAGAGAAGATTGGGAGTCCGTATCCTCCTTTGCAGCAAGGATGAGTCTCTTGGCCTGACGAATGGCTTCTTCCTCAGCTTTGCGAATTGTCCCACTGACGCGTACAACGCGAAAGATACACGACCGTCCGTCTTTGACGGGAACATGATCCATAAAGGTCAATGTTGACCAAAGCATTTGATAGTGAGCCCTTGAACATCGTAGGATGAAAGTTGAGGTTGCTAGGGACAAGTATTTTACTAGACATGTCAGGAATGCGAAGCAGTTCAATTTTACTATCCAATACTCACCTGAGCAGCCCATTAAAGCCCCAGATCCACAGTCGCCATAAAGTGACGCGACTTCAGCCTTGATACCCCTGATAAGTGCACCAGGAGTGAGCTTTTCGATGGTTGGTTGGTGGTTCAGAACAAAGTCTGGCAAATTTGATTTTGCAGCCTTTGAAGGGTCTGGCAGGTAAACAATGTTGACAAGGAGATACCTTTCCTTTATGCGAACCATTTTGAGGAAGCGGCGGTGAAAAATGAAGGATGTTGTTGTGGATGTTGGCGAATAAGAGAAGTTGAACAAAGGCTTGTGACTGAAGAAGTCGACTTGCATCTCCGTGGAAGTTTACTGTAGCGGCTTCGGGAGCTGCCCCACCAAGACCGGGGCGGTCCAGCGGGGCCGTAGACGAGGGAGCTTCCCCGCCGTCATTAGTTGATGAACTCAATTTATTCTATATGCTCGTTTCTCCCTGTAGGAAGCTGTATCTTTTGTCAACTATACACAGACACTGATATTCTTACTGTATGAAACGGAGTTCTTCAGAAATTGTTGCTCATTTCGCATAAAAACCATGGCTTCCGGTCCCTTGAAAGCGGCGCTTCTTATCGTCTCGACGACAGCAGCCAAAGACGCTTCTGCTGATGCTTCAGGACCTATACTCGCCCAAGTACTGAAAGACGAAGGTGACGGGAAGTGGGAAATTCATGATACAAAGATTGTCTCTGATGATGTGCTCGCTATCCAACGACAGATAACTACCTGGACCGACAGTCCTGATAGTGTCAACCTCGTTGTGACTACTGGCGGAACTGGCTTTGCTACTGGAGACTCTACCCCAGAAGTAAGCATTCAATAGAGATAACTTATGAGCCATTAAGGACTAATCGTATCTAGGCAGTCACTCCCTTACTTCATAAGCAAGCCCCAGGCCTCGTTCATGGCATGTTGGCCGCGTCTCTCACAGTCACACCCTGTAAGCGATGTAGCTTCCAAAATCGTATCAGATAGTCCTAACAAGATCCTTAGTTGCAATGATGTCACGCCCGGTAGCAGGAGTCCGCAACTCGTCCATCATCGTCACCTTACCTGGTTCACCCAAAGGTGCCAAGGAGAACCTTCAAGCCATCGTCAAGACACTACCCCATGCCTGTATTCAGGCTGGAGGTGGCAATTCCAGAGCTATTCACAGTGGTGGAATTAAGAAACTGGAAGCTGAAGCAGGTCTCACAGGTGGAGATACCCAGTCTACAGCTGCCAGTGGATGCGGCCATCACCACCACGGCCACGGTCATGGTCACGGTCACGGTCACGGGCATGGAAATCTCGTGAGACATACAAAGCCCGGAACTACTCTCTCTAATGATCCTGCCCTTGGACCTTCTCGTAGATACCGAGAATCGCCCTATCCCATGCTGCCAGTTGAAGACGCCCTGTCATTGATCGAAGAGCATACCCCTGGACCGGAGGTTATCTCAGCACCAGTTAATCAGTCCATCATCAACTCAGTTCTAGCCGAGGATGTCAAGGCCAGGGAGAATGTCCCGGCCTTCCGCGCCAGTATTGTGGATGGCTACGCAGTGGTGGCCCCTAAGGATGGCCAGCTAAAGGGCGTTTTCCCGGTAACAGCCATTTCTCATGCTTCACCTGGTGAGATCGGGGCTCTGAACGAGGGAGAACTGGCTAGAATCACCACAGGAGCCCCTATTCCTCCTGGTGCCACGACTGTCGTTATGGTTGAGGACACTATCCTCAAAACAATGTCAGAGGATGGCAAGGAGGAGAAGGAAGTTGAAATTCAAGTCGATGGAGTAAAGGAGGGTGAGAACATCCGAGAAGTTGGTAGTGATGTCAAACAAGGTACAGTTATCCTCAACAAGGGAGAGACTATCAGCGGCGTGGGCGGTGAGATCGGCCTTCTCGCTTCTGTGGGAGTATCAGAGGCAAAGGTGTACCGTCGTCCTGTGGTAGCCGTACTATCCACTGGTGATGAGATCGTCGAGTACAACCGCCCGGGTGATCTAAAGCTCGGCGAAGTCCGAGACACCAATCGAATCACTCTCATGTCCGCAGCAAGGGAATGGGGTTATGAAGTTATCGATCTCGGCATTGCTAGTGACAAGCCCGGCACTTTGGAGGAGACACTCCGTGATGGACTGAGACGTGCAGATCTTCTCATTACCACCGGTGGTGTCTCCATGGGCGAGCTTGATCTTCTTAAACCAACGATTGAGCGTTCTCTTGGCGGCACTATTCACTTCGGGCGTGTTGCTATGAAGCCTGGAAAACCAACTACCTTTGCCACAGTTCCCGTCAAGGACAATTCGGGCCAACGTGTTACCAAGACCATCTTCTCACTTCCCGGCAACCCAGCGTCGGCTCTTGTTACTTTCCATTTGTTTGTGCTCCCTTCACTGCACAAGCTGTCTGGCGCCTCGACTAAGGGCCTCCCAAGAGTACCTGCTGTCATCTCGCACGAGTTCCCCCTGGACCCTAGACCCGAGTATCATCGAGCTGTGGTCACAGTTGGCAGGGATGGGCTTCTCTCGGCTACAAGTACTGGAGGACAACGCAGCTCCAAGGTTGGAAGCTTGAGGTCAGCTAACGCCTTGGTCATTTTGCCTAGTGGAAAAGGAAAACTGGACAAGGGATCAAAGGTTGAGGTTTTGCTATTGAGCGCTGTGCAGGCTGCTTAGAAGTTGGTCTAAGCCCATACAACGCACCTGCCTGCATAAAATAAAAATCTTTAGTAACGTGTAATTCAAATCTCATCGTGATGTACACTTCCACAACCTCCATATGATACTGGTACTGGTACAGGTACAGCCAAAATACGTCCTCCCAAGCCAATCTTCCAAACGCCTGACCAAATATTATTGGCGCAATGCATGCACGCGCTCCGTCTCTTTTAAACACACAAGGTAGTGCCGTCGGTAAACTCGCCGGGCTTGATGATGTCTAAGGATAGATGTCGGGTTTACTTCTTCTCACCGAAGGCAGGGGCCTTGCTAGAGACTAGAAGACCAATGATCAGACCGAACAAGCCAAGCACTGAGCTGAAAATTTCGATAACAAGAATCTTGACGAAGCTAGAGACATATAAGTAGTTGGTCTAAGTTATGATGATTTTAGATGAATGACGTACAGTGAAGGATCGGCAGCATCGGCCAGGGCAGCACCGCTACCGTTGATTCCAACGGCAACACCGCAGACAAGGTTGCACATGCCGACGGTAATACCAGACCAGAAGAGGGCGTATCCAGTATAGTAGGAGTTGGCGGAGTAGAGCTCGGCTCCGGAGACGTTCTCGACTTTTTGCGAGAAGACGATGGCCATGATGACGCCGTAAATGGCGACAACTTCGCAGAAGATAATGGAAATCAAGTTCTTGGTTCGGATACGAGGGGCCTTAACACCACCTCCGAGAATCGACGAGCCGGTAATGAAGATGCCCCTGAAGCCAATGCGTCAGAGCTATTCTATAAGGATGGTTGGTTGAGGGTATACACACCATGCAGCGCCGACAACTGAGAGACCGATACAAAGCGCGATTCCTAGCGTAGCCCATGTATAAGGCGAAACTGATTCGAGAAAACCGCCGATATCGAAGGACTCGCCACTTCCAGTGAAGAGCATGTCTACACGACAATATCATAGTCAGTAAAAAGCACAATGGAGCCTCCAAGTATCAACGCCTATTGGGAACGGGTTTCGCGTACAAGCTCCAACGATGGTCAAGAACGACCCAATGCCGCCCACTCCATAGTACAGACTCATTGCGACGGTATTCGAATTGCTATCTCGACGGTCCAGGGGTTGATGTGTTGGCGATGGTGAGCGTCGGGTCGGATGAAGGTGGCTTATTCTGAGCTTGAAGGAGCTCCTGTTTCAAGGTACCTTGAAGCTGCGATGCGTGTCCACCAGCACGCAGGCAACTGGAATAACTGGGACCGACGTCACATGATGCGAGGCTGACTGGTGGCTTGTGGCTCGCTTAGTCATTCCCGCTGTGTACATCCCTCGAGGCAGATGCATCTTATCAACCTTGCCCTTGACAAACCATCAACCACCCAAAACCGAAAATAGTAATTTAACGACCGACTTCATTCACGCCTGAACTTCATCATGGCTACCGGAGCGCAATCTTTCTATGAGCTGTACCGTCGAAGCAGGTACTGCGCCATATTGCTATGCGCTGCTCTGCGACAGCCTGGCTAACATGGTTCACTGCAGCATTGGTCTCGCTTTGACAGATACCCTCGATGATCTCATCAGCGACGAGCGCATTAACCCTCAACTTGCCATGAAGATTCTGAGCAATTTTGATCAGGCCATCACTGAGGCTCTTCAGAAGAACGTCAAAGCTAGACTTCAGTTCAAGGTGGGCGAATATCTCCGAGCTCGGCGCACGTATTTCGACTAGAACTAACCACCTCTTCTACAGGGAAGCCTCGACACCTACCGATTCTGCGACGAAGTCTGGACCTTTTTGATCAAGAATGTGACCTTCAAAATGGACAATGGGAGTCAATCCGTCACGGCGAACAAGGTCAAGATTGTTAGCTGCAACGCCAAGAAGCCTGGCGAGGGACAATAAGTCCACGACTCACGAATGCGCACGATCGAACACGAAGAATGGGATTTGCAACATTCACAAATTGGGAAACTACCCGAAATTCTGCTTTTCCGGCATTGGGCGGCGTTTGGAACCTGGCTCTTACAGTTACAGGATATTGATTTATCGTAGGCTAGAAGTTAAGCACTAGATTCAGTGCTAGGACACTAGACTTGATTTTATGCACAGTCAACGGAAGTTTAGTCAAGAATGATACTATATTGCTTTATTTGGAATCTACTAGGTGAGTTATTAGATAAGGTACCTACCTAGGTAGGTAGTGAGATAACAACAACGTGACGTACATAAATTCACTGCCCCTCAACGAGTAAGAAATATCAGACCTTAATACGAGGTTATAATAAACTCAGTTAGAAGTATACTAAACGTATATGAAATTACCTAAAAGTTACCTAAGTCTTTTTATCATTTAGGATCAAAGTCTCAAGCGTTCTTTCTTCCCCGGGCTGGTTTCTTAAAACGTCTCTAACCAGGGGGTCGACTCTGTCTAAGACAGGCGGTCCCCCACTAAAAGACCACTTCTCTGCCTCTAACAAGGGTGCCAAGTCAATCCATCATCATCAGGGGCCCTCCATTCTCACCAACCTAAGAACTCCGAAGA